CCAAAGGTTACCTCCGTTCTACTAAGAAAATACTTATCTGGGCCAAAGGTTAAAGCTAGAAGTAAAGTTTCTTTCTAAAACAACTGGGGTGAAGGTTTGGAATGGGCTGGTTAAGATGGTGCTAAAATAGAGAAAATGTGTGACTTCAATTTCTGGCTGAGGTTTCAAAGTAAAGTTGAGTTTACAAACTTCCCAACACTGAGCCCTGTTCCCTATGATCACCACCTTCTCAGGGTTGATTTTAGCCACTGGCGAATGGGGGACCAGAATGTAACCTCAGGGCAGCCTAGACTTACCTCGCCTGTCTTTCTGGGACCCTGGCATCTTTAATTAACGTCAGACCAACTGGCCTAGTGGCAAAAGGAAGCGCAATGGTGAAATTCATCCAGGCAAGACTGACAGGTCCTCAACTAGTTCACCTTTCCTGAAAGTCCCAGGGCTATTTTTTGTGGAAAAGGAGCAAACATCTGGATCATGTAGAAAGCCGAGAGCAGTCAATTTTGCCTATTTAATTTGAGTACAAAAAACAAGACTGCTTGCCTGTTTATCTATTTCCCATTTCCTGCTTCACACAACACAAACTAGGTTTTACCCAGAGAAAGAAAACAAGACTTCTCATAATTTAGCTTTTATGGTCTTAGCCTTCTGTAATCTTTCTCAAGAGGCAAATGTAAAACTTTTAAACCATTCAGACATAGCTTTAGTAGTCAGCGGTATCAGCAACAGACAAGAGCTTCACAGGCCAAGAGGATGAAGGGGGAGAAAGGAAATCAAAACCACAGCATCTGTAGGTCAGTGACAGATTACACAACATGCTGGCTGCTCAGGGGTCATGGAACTGCTACAAAGAACTTTCTAGACTCCAGTTAGGGCAAAGCAAAATACAAATAAAATCCAAACTGATTCTGGGTCCCCATGCCATGGATTGCAGGGGATAGCAAACTATCTTCTTTCATTCCACTAACCCAAGTAGGGCCTCCGCTAATTAACTGCAAGAACTAGAATTCTAAAGGCTCAAGCCATCATGGCTCAAATGGTAGATCAAGTGAGGCCCTGAGTTCAAACCCCAGTACTGCTAAAATAAAAAAATAAGAATTCTACAAGTCCTTTAGCTGATGGAATCATGTGGCTTTCCATGCTTTTTCTGAAAGTTCTGTATTTTACTCAACAATGGTTTCATTATGGGAACACGGAGAAAATCGGAGCCTCCCACACTTAGGCGTGTTTGTGCACCCCACCCTCCTAGGTCAGTCTGCAGTGGGGTGACCAGAGCCCCGTGCTTCTGAGGGAGGTAGGGAGCAGCCACAGGCAGGCTGGCAGCTCACAGGGTGAGTGCCCGCACGCTCCACAGGGTTCCAACAGAACCTGTTTCCCTTCCCAGCTTTGATGAAGTCTACAAGCAAAGGAAAAGATCCACGAGGTGAAAATAAAAAGAAAACCATCAGGTAAGTACATTAAAGGTGTACCGGTTCCCTGGAGAACATAAAAGACAGGGAGACAGTTCAGTTACAGCCAGTGAGGCAGTGCTGCCCAAGAGAGCTCTTGGCAACAATAGAGACAGTCCCTATCTTGGCTGACCCCTAGCCATTCGATAGAGACAGTCCCTATCTTGGCTGACCCCTAGCCATTCAATCACCTGGTAAGACAGCCAGTGTGAAAGAACAGCTGAATTTTTCATCCAATTTAATTTTAACTGAACACTTCTGGCTCATAGGTACAGTAGACAGCACAGCTCTAGAACACTATGAAAGCTGACTGACCACAGTCATTTCCCACAGAAGGCAAGGCTCACAGGAACTTTCTTTTCCCCAGAGAATTGGGGGACGGGGGGGACGGGGGGGGGGGGGGGGGGAGAAGGGGGCAGGATGTAATAATTAAGTTGCCTTTTTAACTGCTGTAGTAATTAAAACACAATATAAAAATCATGTTCTGTCACATCACAACCCAGAACTAAGCAGGTTTAGGACATGTAAAATGTCAAAGAAGTGAAAAAGCCCTTTTCTCTCACTTTAAACATGCATAACATGGATTCTCACTGTTTAAATTTCTCTCTAACTTGAAATATAAACTTTGGATCAAATATAAGACTACTAAAAGACTACTAGATGGGAAAGGATGGGAAGGGGAAACAAAGGAGGAGGCAACAATGCTTGATAAGAAATCTACTCATTACCTTGCCCATGTAATTGTAACCCCTCTGTATGGTATTTTCACAATTTAAAAAAAAAAAAAACTACTAAAAACATTTTTTTATTTGTCCTTTCTGTTGTTACTGTCCCTTCTCAAAAGTCAGTTGAAACCGCCCATGTGACTGTGCTTTAAGACAACAGAAAGAAGGAAAAAAAAAAAAATCAAGTAGTAAGCAAACTCCCCAAGTTTCAGACTGAAGAGTCATTCCTATGGCAGCTGGGCCTCCCATCTAGACCTGCTAACAATGCTTTACCCCACGATACCAACACTGTCTATTAAAGTACTGATTGTAAACAAATGCTTCTAGCCTTACATACAACATGCTGTAGCTTTAAATGGCACTTAAAGACCTGTCATCTAGGGTCATCATACAGGCTCCCTGTATATTACACACCTGGATGACAGCAGAAACAAACTACACTGAATGTCAGTCAACTTGGTGTTCTTTCCAGAGTTCAAAGAGATTAGGTTTAGTACCTTAAGCCACAAAAAATGACAATCGTGGGCTGGGAAGGTGGCTCAGTGGTAAAGCGCTTGCCTTGCACGCATGAGGCCCTGGGTTCGATTCCTCAGCACCACATAAGCAAAAAGAAAAAAGCCGGACGTGGCGCTGCGGCTCAGGTGGTAGAGCACTAGCCTTGAGCTGAAGAGCTGAGGGACAGCGCCCAGGCCCAGAGTTCAGGCCCCACGACTGAACCCCCCCCCCCCCCCAAAAAAAAAATGACAATGGTTTTTTAAAAAGAAGGTTTTTTCAAATCTCAAACAACGAGAGGTAAATTTAGTTCTAATATGAAAAAATAATAAGGTAAGTGGTTGAACAGACAGGGGGCTACTACTGTAAATTCCAAGTAAACCTTATTATAAGCACCATACCTTTTCTAACATGGAAACTCAAGAGCAGGGCACTGGACAAAGGCTGTGCTGGAGAACTGAATGACTGGGGAACACGTGAGTGCACTGATGCTGAGTGAAGCTGAGTCACCTGTATGAGCCCCACAAGGTCTGTGCTTGGTTCTGCCTCAACTGGCAGGACTGTATAAAGAAACAGCCGGCAATGGGTCCAAAATGATGTAACACAATGTGTAATGTAAAACACGATACATGATGTAACACAATGGGATTGAAACATTAAAGTCCTGCATCGAAAACTCAGAGTCAATTTTTCCACCACCAGCCAAAGCACCAAGGATCCTTAGTAATTTAGAGAAAGATAAAGGCAGAAGAATTCAGATGCAGGTTCAATACAGGCCTACAGCAATATTATTACTCAAAAAGCTAATTTACTCAGACTGCATATATGAGTGGGAAATTGCTAAGAAAGTTACTATCCTCCACTAAAATTCTTGCTGCAGTGTTCAGGGTACTGCATTTTGGCAACAGCATCAATAGATTAAAGGTATGTATACCCCATCTCCACCCCCACATTGAGTTACAAACCTAGTCACACACTTGGAAAGAGGAGAGAAGCAGAGAAGGAAGTGAAAGCAAGACTGTGCTCTCCCAATGTCTGAAGTCTTGTCAGGCTAAGGAACGTGGTTCCTGTGAACCAAAAAGACAAATGAGCTCAACACGAGGAAGAACATGTCAAAGATCAAGACCATTCCTAAATGGCCTGTCCCATCTGGAAAGGGAGTAAGCATCTCATCAATGGAGGCCAGATGTGCATTCTAGAACTCTCTCCTCCCCATTCTCCCCACACACTGGACTTTACAAACTCGAACACTTTCCATTCTCTCTCCATCAGTAGAGGTACACTACTGAGTAACCCTAGACCAGGCATTACTGCTATAACTTACTACACACACACACACACACACACACACACACACACACACACACACACCCCACAATAATCACAACTAATGATCAAAGTACCAGTTCTTTAACAAAGGTTGGTACTTGTAACTACTAATAAAACCTTGACAGTAGAAGAGCAAATTCATAGCTCTAATACAGTAATTCAGATTTCATCCTAATTTCCCTACATCATTTTTCAAAATAACATTCCTAAATTTCGTTGATTCCAAACCCAAAACGTCCAAAGCTGATTTCCTGAAACAAGAGTGGGCCTTTTAGGCTAGGAAGGTGGCTCAGTGGTAGAGTGCTTACTTCAGAGGTATGAGGCCCTGGGTTCGATTCCTCATATAAACAGAAAAAGCCGAAAGTGGCTCAAGTGGTAGAGCGCTAGCCTTGAGCTGAAGAACTGAGAGACAGGACCTAGGTTCAGGCCCCATAACCCACAAAATTAAAAAAAAAAGAGTGGGCCTTGTAGCTATTTAACGAAGCTCGCAAGCGAGAAGCCTACAGAGGAAGTTCTTGTACACCCAACTCAGAGAACTGACGCTAGTTCCTAACCAAAGCAGGGTCTGCTGTGCAGAGGGTGAACGCCGGTCTTACCTTCCTTGCAGACATCCATTCTTCCCTATCACTTCCTCCCAGTCCTGACACTATCCACACGATGTCTAACATGTTTTTGGTCTCTGTGCCACTCTACTCTACAAAATGACAGATCTGCTTATTATCAGCCTATTGGAATTCTCAAACGATAGCACTATCATAAAAACTACTTTCAGAAACTCTCTGAAGACTTCTCACTTTCCGAGCGGAGAGTACTGTACTGGGAGAAGGAAGCTAAGTCTGGCAAGTCAGCAAACACACATATGGAGGGGGGAGGGAGGACGGGATGGGAGAAGACATGGAAGTTCACATCCCTGCCAGACGTGTGAGATACGAGCCTGAACCTTCGGTCATCCTTTGCCTCTTGAACACCACTTTCCGTACAACCTGCTGCTCTACAAGCCGGGCTTTACCTTTCTGAACATGGATGATGTCCGGGAAGTTGGCCAGGTGCCCCTGATACAGCGCTAACAGGTCCATGACCGGGTCCAGGTCCTGCCTGGGCTGCTCGGCGAAGAGCTCGCCGATGGCGTCGTAGGCATCTCCGGTGAAGGCGATGGCCTGGTTCAGGCCCACCGAGAAGGCCTGCTGGTCCAGCTCAAAGGCCTGGCTGAGGCCGCGGAAGGACTGGCCCACCTTCTGGTACTCCTTCTTGAAGCCCGTCACCTGCTTGCGCGCGAACTCGTTGGCCGTGTGGTTGAGCTGCAGCGCGCTGTCGTCCATCTTCTTGGTGAAGCACTTGAAGCCGTCGATCTTGCTCTCCACCTCCTGCAGGTCCAGGGCGGCAGCGGGCGGCGTGCTGAGGGTCAGGAAGAAGTTGGCGCCCACCATCTCGTCCTTCTCCGCCTTCCTCTTGCCCTGCTTCCAGGCCTTCTCGTCCGTGCCGCTGGGGCAGGTGAGGAAGTGCTGGAAGGCGTCGCACTGCGCCAGCACCGGGTGGCTGGCCATGTGGTTCATCCACCACATCAGGCCCTTGCGGCGCTTGGAGATGAAGTCCTCCTCGAAGCGGCCCGTGGCCTGCTTCTCGGGCAGGTGCGGCACGGAGATGACGGGGAACTTCTCGGCCAGGCGCGCGTACAGCCAGTCGAAGTGCTTGTAGCGCCGGTGCACGGGCACCTGCGTGTGCGTGGGGACCAGCTTGTAGGAGATGTAGCTCTTCATGCCCTTGAACTTGGTCTGCTTGGTGGGGTCGTCGATGGTGCACTGGAAGGGGTAGGGGTTCTCCTGCCACTCGGGCCCGTAGGGGCCCAGCACCACGCACAGCTTGTCCCCGTCCTTCACGAAGCCCGACGCCTCGCCCAGCACGAACGCCTCGCCGCCCGACTTGACGAAGGTGGAGAAGCGGTTGAGGTTGCGGCTCACCGTGGCCGAGCTCTTGGCCGCGCCCGGCGCGTGGTGCGCGTGCGGCGGCGGCGGCGCCGAGCCGCCCCCGCGCGGCCCCAGGGACAGGTCCGAGCGCGTGGACAGGCGGTAGCGCCCCGCCGCGCCGCCGCCCGCCGACGACGAGCCGTCCAGGTCCGGGTAGGCGCCGCTGCCCAGCGCGCCCGGCTCGTCGGCCACCGTGGAGCTGTCGTCCCACTCGTCGTCCCAGTCGTCGTCGCTGCCCTGGCTGGCCTGGTAGCCGCCGCCGTAGAGCGGCTGCGGGGCGCCGCCGCCGCCGCCGTACGGGAAGCCGGCGCCCGGCGGCGGGAAGCTGGGCGGCGGCGCGGGCTGCGGCTGCAGCGGCGGCTGGAAGGCGTCGGCGGGCGGCCGGAAGGAGGCGGGCGGCGCGGCGGGCAGCGGCTCGAAGCCCCCGGGCGGCACGTTGGCGTAGCGAGCCGGGGCGCCCGGGCCGCCGTCGCCCGCGGGGCCGGGCTCCGGGGCGCGGATCACCTGCACGTAGGAAGCCGGGAAGAGGCCGCGGTCGCCGCGGCTGTTGACCCCCTCCAGCCAGCCCTCGATGTCCTGCTCGCTGCACAGGCTCAGCACCTCGTGCTCCCGCAGCGAGATCTCCCCCGGGTTCTCCGACCTGAAGTCGTACAGCGCCCGGGCGCGCAGCGCCATGGTGCCGGCCCCCGACGGACGGGCGAGCGGTCCCGATCCCGGGTCTCCCGGCCCGTCGGAAGGGGTGGGAGGGAGGTCCGCGGTGCCCCCCACCGCGCCCCGGCGCACGGACGGGAGCCCCGAAGGCAGCGCGCAGCCCGCAGCCCGCCGCCCCGGCCGCCGGTCGCGCCCTCCGCGCCGCTCGGCTCCGCTCCCGGCCGGGACTGCCGCCGCCGCCGCTGCCGCCGCTGCCGCCGCCGCCGGGGGCGGGGCCGCGCCTCCCACGTCCCCAGATGCACTAATCCACAGCCGAGTGCCAGGCGAGAGCAAGCGAGGGCCGAGCCGTCGCGCTAGCCCCGACTCCATGGCCACTGCTGTCCCCTCGTGGCCAGCCCTGCGAAGTGAGGCGCTGGTGTGACCACAGGGAGGGGATGAATTCTTTGAGGATATTTTTAGGCCAAAAAACGTTTCCTAGTAAGTGTTTATTTGCAAGTCTGATAATAAACACTGCCACTATGAGTGCCCAGAGAATTCAGGCTTGTAATAAAGCGTTTTACCAGAAAGATCAGAGATTGCACTAGAATAGGATGCAGGAGCAGGGGCCTTGTTCACAGATGAAAGTGGCTCCCGGAGCAGACTGACAAAAGCAAAGTAAGAGCGAGAGGAGATGCTATGTCTGAGCAAGTAAGAGATAATGGGTAGTGTAGTGAGAGAAGAGCTGGAAAGAGTCTAAATGAGAAAGTACTTGCATGTGTCCTCTCTCTTCCTCCGGAGGACATAGCAAAGTGCAATAAATGAGAACTCAGGCTTGCAGGTTCCAGTCTGTGTTCTGTGGACTAACTAACTGTGAGACCTTCATGCTCCTTTATATTGTCCCCTCCTCCTAGGGATGTGGTGGGGATTCAGTACTAGTATCATCTCAAGAAGAAGAAGAAAAGGAAAACTTCATCAGAAAAAGGAGAAAAGGAAACATTCATATATTGCCAACACTGTACATGACCAAGTGTTTGCTGTCCCTGTTACTGATGTTTGGGAAAGCCAAATTCCTGGCCTCTTTTGTAAAGAGAGTAAGGGTCTTAAAATTGCAACTGCAACGTGTGTGTACCAGGGGAAGCTTGTGGTGTTCACACCCGTACTCCTCCTGCTAGGCCGATGACCATCTCTCTGCAGGTTGTCTCTATGTCACATTAAATTTGTATTGTTTTTAAGATAAGTAGATCAAAAAATCACTTCCTGAAATATTAATCGGCTCCAATTTCATACAATTGTTTTGTTTCCTATCTTCTTTTTCTTCTGTGTATAATTTACCCAAAGCTGCTTTTTTTCTTCTTGTCACAATCCCCTCTTATTAAGTATACCCTAATTATTCCTTTGAAGACACCTCTAATTGGGGCTCAGCATTCATTTGTCATTAATCCCAGCCTGTCCAAAGCAAATCTGGGAACAGAGCCAGCTGAGTATACCATTATCATAATGGCTGTGGTATTCTAAGCATCCTTAACAAAACCACCAACCTACCACACCAGAATTCCTCCCCTTATGTGCATCTTAATGCAAAAGCTTTAATTCAATTCCATGAGCAAATTCTGAAACACAACATTTTCAGCTGGAAACTCTGAGTATGACTTGTCGCAGTGAGCAGCAGGGATAATTGAACTTCGATGTCAACGTTTTATGTGGTCAGAAATGTGAAGCATCAGCAGGAACTCAGCTCGTAAGCTGAATGTGAGGATTTGGTGCATGCCACATACCAGACCTCAAGAAAGATATGGGCAGGCTATCATAGTGCTTGACTCTATGGCATGAGAAACTGGAAAACTTTTATCCCAGAAAGCCTTAGGCTATGTAGAAAAAGTGCTTGATTACTAATAATATAACTAAAGTAGATATGTTAACGTGTTTGTAAAGAATCTGGCCAAAATAGAGCACATCATTAAGTCATTAAAACTATCAACATGTTGGATCTCAGTTGGGTACCTGTGGCTCACGTCTATAATCCTAGCTACTCAGCAGGCTGAGATCTAAGGATTACAGTTCAAAGCCAGCCCATGCGGAAAGTCTGTGAGACTCTCCAATTAGCCACTAAAAAGCCGAAGTGGAGCTGTGGCTCATGTGGTAGAATGCTAGTCTTAAGTGACAAAAGTCTAAGGGACTTACCAAGACCCTGAGTTCAAGCCCCAGTAGTGGCATAGCAAAACAAAACAGAAAAAAACCCTTTTCTACTTCCTTATGCTTTCATTTAAAAGATTGTGGGGGCACTAACTGGCCTCTAATAACTGCATTTCTCACTTTGTCTTTTGGCTAGCAAAGACTGAGGTGGCCTGACCCTTGGCTGTCCCTTCCACTGAGAGAAACCACTGTGACTTCACTGTTATTCCTGGAACAAGCTAAGCACACTTCTATCTTCTCAGACTTTTACATTTGTCTTTTTTTGTGTGTGTGAAAATACCGTACAGAGGGGTTACAATTACATGAGCAAGGTAATGAGTACATTTCTTATCAAGCATTTGTTGTTTTTAGACTTTTACCTTTGCTGCTTTCTCTGCCTGGAACTCTCTTTCTCTAGAAATCCACTATGTAATAGCTTCACTTCACTCAGAATCAGCCTAGCTCTTCCAAACTTCCCTCCTTCTGCCTTGGAGAACTTAGAAGATGGAGAAAGCTGGGTCCCTAAGTCACGGCCCTCAATCACACTTTGTAAGAGAAAGCCCTCACTGGGCTGAGCCACTGAAATTGCATGGTTTGTTTGTTGAGACAGCTGGCATTAATTATCCTGACTAATACTGTCTTCCTTCTTCTAGCCTATCAGCAATTGGCCAGTCTCAGTTTTTCTCTGTAGGGCTTACCACTGAATACCAACACATCAACACAGTAATTCTCCCATTCTTAGAATGTAAATTTCTTCAGGCAGTGAGTTTGATCTGGACATGGAGAATATAAGCAACTAACAAAAAGGACATGATAAGCAACCAGGAAATATTTGTTCAATGAATGAATGAGGAGCTGCTTGCTTATTTCTCCCTAGATGATGTCAGCTCTAAGAAGTGGATCTTGCTCTATGCTTGGCACTACTGGCGTAGGCCCTTCTGCTCCCAGCGATAACTCAATACTTCTAAGGACAACTAAATAGCACTTCGGTTTAAATCAACAGACTTAAAGCTAACTCAGCCTCCTAGAATACCACTGCAAATGGTCTCACATGACTGGCAATTTCACGCTTGCTAGTGAGTCATAATGTAACCCCCCAAAATAAATAACACTACCCTTTCCTTGCAAACTTTCTATATGTGTCAAGCATTCCACAGTGTACTGATAGGATTTTATACACACCTCCAAGTCTATTGTGCTGTGTGTTCACAGCAACGATTCCAGGCACAGAGCAGATACTGTTACTTCCCGTCACAGATGAGGACACGCAGCCGGAGAGGGCTTCAGCCTACGCATAGCGGTCAAGTTGCCGCGTAGCAGTCCTGAGAGCTTACTTCTTCACTCTGCTGAGCCCTCAGAATTACTGTTTGACTGGAGACATTGGCCACTTAGTAGAAATTGTGTAGTTTTAACAGGAGGCCTAGATTCAGGAACAAGGAGGGTCCTGTCTCACTCCACCAGGTCAGAAGTCCCTGCCTTCATTGGTCACATTATGTATTCTCAGCACACTAAATTCATTAGGTGTCAAATGAATGAGTTAATGGGTAAAAGTTCTCAAACTTCAGCCCTTAAACATAGAAATAAAGGCCAAGTGCCAGTGGCTTATGACTGCAACCCTGGCTGCTCAGGAAGCTGACATCAAGAGCAAGATTCAAAGCCAGCTTGAGCAGAAAAAAACAGTCAATGACATTTGATCTCCAATAACTAACAAAAAGCTGGGCTAGAGTCCTAGTTCAAGTAGTATAGTGCCAGCTGTGAGGGGAAAAAGTCCAGAGAGAGCAAAAGACCCTGAGTTCATGCTCTAGTATTGGTCCATGCTTGTGCACATACATACATACATATGCACATGCATACGCATATGCATGTGCACAGTTGTGTGCACACACAGAGGACAATGAAGGTCTTCATTTTTGTGTAGTTCATTCTCAAGGTGAATTCTTGAGGTGCTGACCTGGGTGAATATTCATATTTGAATTCCATCATGTTAGTCTCCTCGGCAGTGGTATTTATAGTTGGGAATGTGCAAGTACCTAAAAAATTATTCACCGCTATGAAAGAAATATCTCATTTTTCATTGCCAGACTTCTTTCACGCACAGCACATTTCTGTTGCAAAATCAAATCAGGACCAGATTCAGTATTCATTACCTGTCACATCTCTTTCTATAATTTCTCTCTTTTGTCAAGCACGTGTTTTACTAAATTAATTCAGCTGCTGACTGATAAATGTGTTTTTGTGGATACATTTTCCAAGTTTTCTCTTCAGCTGTTCCATCTTGAATTGCGGGCCTCATGGATTTTCAATGATGTAAAAGTGATATGCATTCATTAAAAGCCATATTTTGAGTTTTGAATGTTTCTCTTTTACACGGCAAAGCACAAGGCTGTTTGTGATAGTAGGTGGTGGCAAGAATCGTGGTCACCAGAGGAAAATAACCAAGATATCACCCTCAGGTACCATATTGCTAAGCTATGCTATACCTACACGAGGTGTAGTAAATGCGCTTTCAAACTTAGAATAGTTTCAATTTATGCTAAGTTTATCTAGTATGACCTCATCACAAGTTGAAGAGCATCTGTGTTAGAGATCTTTCATGCAACAATAGGGCTGGTGTGTGTGTGTGTGTGTGTGTGTGTGTGTGTGTGTGTGTGTGTGACGGGGGATCTGATGACACTAGGCCAGTGTTTCTGCACAGCGATATTAGCTTCTCTCCGTCAGATCAGGCATATTCTCCCTAACCTACCATGGCCTCATGGTCTTTGGTGTCTCGCTCCCAAGACTACCCTCCAGCTTTACTACTGTACCCAGAGGATGCCTTCCCCTCACCTATCAGGGCAAAGAGCATCGTTCTGGGACATCACCATGAGAAATCCACATCCCTGTCTAGCATGGCATACTTCAGCGCTCTCTGCTCACATCCAAGTATCTTCTGGAAACTTCCCACAGAGTGTCCTGACCTCCCCTCAACCAAACAAGTAGTTACCAGGATGTGAAGTAATTGCCATTGAAGCTTAGCAGAGCAGGGAGGTGAGGAGGCTGGTGGTTA